GAAAGAAGTAGGCTAGTTTTTGCTAGATTAGATTCAAGGATTGGAGTTTTACTGGAACTTTGTTTCAGTGAAATTTCTGTACCTGGGGCTCATCAGATCATTCCAAATACAATTGAAGAGTTTCACATAGATTTCTTTAACTTATTTTGATTTGACCCAACTGAGGCTCCATTTGAAAGGTACTAAGTCTTGTTCTCTATTTTTCTGGACAAGTTCCATGAGGCAGGGATAATTTTCTTGCTGTATCTCCAGTGCTGAGACAGTTCTAGACCTACACTAGGTGCATAATAAATACGCATTAAATACTGAATGAAATAAATGGGCGTTGCTGTCAAGTGCATTTAACATGTTTCTGCCAATCCTTCCCCAGTGTGCATTTACCAAATGCTGGGAAGGTCCTGAGAGATTTTGATTTTAGTAATTTTAGCCACTAGAAACAAAACAGAATTTGTCTCTGAAAGGATTTGTCTACAACTGTCTGCAGAGAAAACTTTCCTAAATCAGGCATGGCAAGCTGACCTATGAAGTGGATCTACTGTCTAACCCTTAGAGATCATTTTAGTGACTTGAGATCATTTTAGTGACTGAATTCAAAGGGATAGTATGGACTGTGAACTTCCTAAGGTGCTGAGAGGAATAGAACTCAAGAGTCGAGGCTTTGAGTGAAGTAGGGGCTTAAACACTAGTCGTTCCTATAACTGCCCCTAAAAATTTTGTCAAACAGCCATTAAGAAATAAGGAGAGAATGCAGAATATGACTGTTTGTAGACCAGGTTTTGAGCTATGTAGTAGCTCTCCTGTAAGCTTTAGGGATGGCGGTAAGGTGGAGGGAGGTGTCTGTGGATGTCATTAAACCTAGGGGGACTTCATTAAATAAAACAATGTTAGAAGATCCTTTGCCTCCTAAATTGGTATATTTACATTTTGCTTTTCAGAGGTGAGGGTAGCAGCATGAAGGGGCCTGTGAATGTTCTTAGAAGAGGCTTTCACCTGTCATGGTGCTTTACAGGTTAGGTGTTTGTGAAAACCTGAAAGAGAATGGCTAAACAGGATAATTAAGCCACCTTTTTGAGGCTGGTCCTGGGAGCTCTGCCACCTCTACTTGCACCTGGTAGGCACCTGCCAGCAAATTGACCTTCTTACTTGGCTGTTACCTCAAGAGCATTACTGTGGTGCCACACCCAACACAGGGATTCTGAACCCAGTCAAGTACAGAAAGGAAGGCATTTCTCACAAGGATCACATATTCATTTTGTTTCCTCTTGGCTTTTGAAATCTTTACACAGTAAATATATTACAAACCATATTCCACAAGTTGATTTGCAAAGATAAAATCTCATTCCTTTCTTATTATAATGCTGAGACAAATTACATTTAAACATCATGTACTTTAACTTACATCTCACATTTAACTGTACAAAAAGGCAAATGAAACAAAACAATATTAGAATGTTAGCATTAGGAATAGCTTTGGAGATTAATTGGTCCAGCCCCTGCTTTTCAGATGAAATATATAAGGTCAGAAGTGAACAGAAGTGCTCAGTAATACAAGTTAAGCAGCATAGTATTTTACCCATAATTAGTAATGTGAAGAAAAAAAATGTTGCCTGCTATTCCAGTTCTGCAAGGATTAAGCCATTAGCTACTGCAGTTGCTCATGGACAGTGCACCCCGAGGGGAATTCAAGATGGAGAAAACCAGGAAGTACGTTGTGCTTTGGATATATAGGCCCCTAGATAGTTAAGATGCATATCTAAGGAAAAATATCTTTCATACTTAGAAAAGCAATAAAATCATTAACTTGAGATGTCTGTTCTTTGGGATTAGCAGTAATCTTTTGATATTTAACTACATGTCTGCTTTTTTTTTCCAGCAAAAAATTCATGTATATCCTGACTGTTGCCTTACCTCCTCGGAGCCATTCCTCAGAGCTGAGAGACTGTTTCCTGGGCTGTAGTCCTCAGAAAGTTCACAGAATAAAACTTAACTCACAACTTTTACCTTGTGAGTTTTTCTTTCAGTGGGCAGTATATACATTATTACATAGTATATATATATAGTTAATATATACATAATTTAAACACATATTTCCCATAGATAACTGATGTTTAGAGAAACGCACAGATTTCTTGCAGTTAGAAAGTCACACACATCAAATATTTTTTAATCACACTGTTCACTGACATACTCCTTTCTGGGGGGGAAAAAAAGAAATGAGAATTTTTTTCTTGTGATGGGAAATTTTGATTCTAAGAATGGTTGATTCCCAAGCAATTGATTTCTAGTTCTCCTTTAAAATTTACTTCCTCAGAAACCCAAGAAATAATAGAGATTGCTAAAATTTTAGCTAAGCAAAGCATTGAGCAACTTTTCATATTTTCAGGGGCTATTTGTCTTTCTTTTTTGTTTTGTTGATGTAGGTGTATGTCCTTTGCCTGTATTTTGTGAGGTGAGCAGCAGTTGTCTTTGAATTTTTAAGTCTCAAGCCATTTACCCTTTGCCTGTGATATAAGTTGCAATTTTTTCTTTCATTTTTCTTTG